ATATAAAAATACTATCTCCATAAAACTAAAAAAATAAAATGGTCCGCTTTCAATTTTTTTTAATAATGAAAGGAAATGTTTTTCTTAATTTTGAGGGAGTTATAGAAGTAAAACTTCTCTTGGAAAAAATGATCCCCTTCCCCTTGCAGCCGGAGACTGCTATTCTTGCGAAAGTATATTTTTGGGAAAGTGTCTTTACCCTTCCCATCTTTGATATGAAAGCAGAATCTGATATCGTTATTGCTTTGCACACTCAACGTGGATGCAACTTTGATCGCACTAAACACATATATATCATATATTCTCAATATTCTTTTTTTTTTTTTTTAATTTTTTCAACCCATTCATTATTCCAGATCATGGTGAACTAGTTGCTCACTTGCACGGAATGTTTTCTGCATTAAGACGTCAATCACCACTCAAAGAAAGATAATTTTTTGTTGATGAACCACCCAAAGAAAGATATATAGTATATGCTTTTCAAACTTGTGATAATTAATTAATTAGATGTATGGCAATTCCTTGAATCCAATCAAGAATTAGGTTCATCTAGTACACCATTAGAATCCCAAATATGGAGGAAGATCAACTACTTGCACCTTCTCCTCCTATATTGCTTTTTAAATCACATCATCAATTTCCATTAATAAAGAAAAAATTGCATTTCCATGCACGATCCATAGTTTGATAACATAAAGCTCATATCAACCAAATTTTCATTCGTTAATTCTTGCAACTGTCATGCATATGCTCCTAAATCTAATCATTAATTCCAATAATCTTCCCTCGACCAAATCCCACAAAATCTCCACATAACTATAAATTCTTATTTATTTTATCACTAAAATAACAATATTTAAAACATTAATTTTATTTTCTTGACAGAGTGAAGCATAAAAAATGCAGGTTGGTTCATGAATCACCCCACCAGACATGTCCCGCGCCATGTGGGAGAGTACGTGTTTTGTTCCTGGTTTACTCAACCCCATTCTGGTTTAACTAACTTAACCAACACTTCTGGTTACGGCTTGATTTTTTTTTATTATAGTATAATTACAATATTATTAAAAATTTATTATTATTATGTGATATTAAATAATATGTTGTATTTTTTAATAAATAAATATATAAAATATTATGAATAAATTTTTATTAAAAAATTAATTATA